CCCTGAGAAGCTTAATGTTATTACCCTATAACATAGACAGTTGAGCTTAACCTCACTATCTGTCTGAATATCAAACAACTTAGACATAACATGGAACAGATATTTTCCATCAAGTATTGATATGTTAAACTTTAAATCCACGCTGGGCTTGGGCTGTGTCCTAAGGGGTCCAGCAGGTGCAGGGGACTGTGGAAGCTCTCCCACACACTCACCGGACCTGGGCTTGGGCTGGGTCTTTTTATCCAGATTTTTGTTTGTTTTCCTCATTTTATTTACTGCTCCATTATAAATTTCCCCAATACTCAAGATTCATTCAATAAGTTGTTCTTTGATGCTTTTGTACCTTAATGAAATACTTGCTATTTCCTTAGGTTGGTGAAAACCACATCTTGCCTTGCTTTAAAGGTTATATCTCTCGTTTCATCTCTGTGAATTCTTTGCCAGTGATGCCAGGTGGATTTAGTCCTTTGCTCCTTAGCACATCACATTATGCTTTTATTGCTTGCTAGATTCTTTTTCTAGAAAGGGAGGGCTCTTGACACTCCTTTGTGTTTAACACAGGGCTATCCTGAGTCATTAATTGCTGAATATAAAGTACTGAAGGTTTTTTGAAGTTCAGGTGATCAAGTAGATGTTGATACTAGTAATTGAAATACAAATAATTTTGCTATTGAGTCTGTTGAATTGGAGATACTAATGTTACACTTAAAAAATGTTTAGGAAACAGTTGAAAGTAGGAGAAAGCAGGAAAGCCAGAAATAGCACTAATAAGTAATAGGCCAAATCAGAAGTTGTTGAAATGACACATAGAATGAGACATGTAAGAAGATAGTTGTACTAGGAACTGGCAGATAGGGAGCAAGAAAGAGATGAAACAGAGCAGTTAAGTTTCTCCCTCTTCCATACAGCCTGGAAAAAATTTGAGGTACCAGGAGCTAAATATTTTTGTCCCAGAAATTATATTTTGAAGCATTGTACGTGTGTGATTCTTTTAAAAATCAGATTGATATATAAATTAGGAAGAAAAATATATTTTCATATATTATTATTATTATTGATTCCTGGCTTCTACACTCTGTGCAATAAAAAGTTTTAATGTAAAGCTGTTTGCAATATATTATTGCAGTTTATGTTTATTGAGATCAGATAAGTCATTATTACTTTTAAGAACATTATGCTTTTTGCCTCTGGGGAGGGGGATGATCATTTTCTTAAAAGAAGGAAGGGTTCAGTACTTTCTTTGCTTGTGGGTTTCCTCTTGTTCACTTTTGATCTAGATTTTGGTGGTTATGTTCCAGTCCTCCTGCATATGCCCAAGAGGATTGGGAGTGGATGGACAACAGCAGAAGCACCATTTATTCCTGTAGAGATTAGAAACAAGTTTATTGCCCTGCTTGTCAAGGCTCAGGACAGAGAGGAGGAAGAAACAAGTAAAAAGTTTTTGGTTTTGGAAAGAAGTTGGAATCTCCTGACCTTGGGACATTAAGAGCCACATATTGCTGAAAGAAAAAGTACTACCTTATTGAAAGGTAAGATATTAAACTGTTTTAAGGTTTAAGCTGTTTTAGCCACATAAGCATATCTTTATAAACTGAATTCAAGCAGTCATTTCTGCCAACCCAAAGTTTTTGTGGCATAATCACCAAACCAGCCTTGCTGGAGAGGTGTGTAGTGAGGGAAAACCTTTATAGCATGTCACTCTGTTTTGAAATGACATTTACTGAATGCCAGGCACTGTGCTAGGCCTTTGCTATAAACAAGATTAATACGTTACCCTATCTATCCTCCAGAAGTGCTCATTTTAGAAAAAAACAAAACCCTGATGATTACAATGTGATAAGTGCTATAATTATTAGATACTAAGTGTAATGAGTGGTCCAGGGGTTGGAGGTACAGCTCTGTGGTAGTTTACCTAGCATGTGTGAGGCCCTGGGTTAGGTCCCCAGCACCCCAAACAAACAAATGAACAAACAAAACAATGAGTAATCCTATTCCTATACCCTTTTAAAGTTCATGAGGTTGGAAGAAAGGAATGGGCTTCAAGTTTGGGAGAATTAAATATTCAAAAACATAGCTATGAGAAAGCATGTTGTATTGGAAGGATCCATCAGATGCCAGGATTTGTTATCTGAATGCTTGTGACGTGTAAAAGATGAAAGAAGAGGGGTTTGAGATGGGCCAGTTGTGGACTTCGTTGTGTGCCAAAGAAATTTTAATTTTGGCCTTGAGGAAACATTGAAGATAAAAACAAGAAACTGTGGGCTGCCTTTGTTCAGAGAAGGGTAGGGAAAAAGTAAATGCGGTGTTATACTACAGATGTACCTTTTCTCTCTAATAGAGGCAAAAAAATATACTTCCTCTTATTACTTTTTTTTTCTTTTTTGCTCATATTTCTGATATTCTTATGTTCTAAACATTGTAGGGTACTAACCAGAGTTTTGACTTAGAATATTGAGAATAACATTTACCAATTTGTACCAACTTTGAATACCTTCTAAATTATATGTATACCTCAGCTTAAAGATCTTTTCTTCATTTTGAATAGAAAACTAAACCCTACAGTGAAAATTAAATTCATCAAATAAATGCCACAGCAGGAAGTATTTCTAGTATCTAATAATGACCATAACAGATCATAAATTTATGGTGACTTCAAGAAAATAAGCTCCAAAGAGCAGTCAGGCTTGATCCTGAGACTTTTGTAGTTAGACCTTTTATAGTTTGAGAACTTACTGGGGCAGATTGACTAGACTCCACAGTTCAGCTTGCAGTAGAGACCATACCCAACAGGTAGATTCTGGAGTTGTTGGTGGAGCATTAGTGGACTGTTCTGTTAGAGGAGTTCAGTGAAGTCACAAATTAAGAAACATTGGGAAGATGATGACTGGCACTGAAATGCTTAAGGAGGGGTGATATTCCCATTCTCTGGAACATGACTTTCATTAAGAACAAAGAGGAGAGGACAGCCATGGGACATGTGGTGTCCACATACGAGGTTCTAGTGAATGCGGAGTCCTCACTGTGTACTTAACAGGGCAGAGTACAACCAACCATTTGGGTGAAAGACTGCAGCAGTAGGCAGTGATTCCATAGGGCTTTAGGAATCTAATCTCAGTGTGACATTTAGTTTCAAAATTACATGTAATGTATGTAGTTAGAGCAAGACTAAGTGGTATTTAGTTTCAAAATTACATATAATCTAGTTGAGTAAGAACTGTATCTCTGAAAGCATCTGCTAAGATTAGAACGCTGAGTTAAAAGTCAAGGGTTTCAGATCAAAAGCAGAATATTTTTATAAAATGAGCCCCTAAAATAGCAAAAAATGGAGAGAGAAGGAATAATGCTGAAAAGGATACCTTGAAGTATTCAAATGAGATGCACTAAGAGATGTGGACTTTCGTCCTCAGGACTGTGTGACCTCTGTAAGGACTGACTTACCCTGTCTAGGTCAGAAGCTCTGGAATATGATGATGCCTCAATGAAGGAGTAATGGATTGGTAGTTGAGGCATTATGGCAGCAGCCATAAGAAAGTCCTTTCTGGTGGAAGAGAACATAAAGGGCTGACTGGGAAAACAGTACCAACCTGAGCCGCTTCTCATATGACAGGCAGATGGGCATTTTATCCTCAGTATAGTGCTATAAAAATGATGTTTTGGGGAGTGGTACTTAGGAAGTGAGCCCAGGGCCCTGGCACTAAGTTGAATGTGTAACCCCATTTATGTTTTCTTTTGGCAAAACTGGGGATTGAACTCAGGCCCTTACACTTGCCAGGGAAGTGCTTATTCTGCTGAGCCATCTCCCTGACCCCCCATTTATGTTTTCTGAGAAGAGGGTTTTGCCAGCTTGCAAAATTCCCAGGCTGGGCTTGAACTTCTAGTCCCTTTGCCTCAGCTTCTCAGAATATTGCGATTACAGGCATGAACCTGTAAGTCCAGCTGATTTAAAATAAATGTACTAAAAAGAAAATCTTCCCTGTGCTAATTGAAGTTATCATACATTTTCTATTAAAATTTGTGCAATCAGCTGGACTTACCGGTGAGAGTTTCTGTTGTACTCAGATACAAAGAATTCATTTTATTTTAGTTTTTAACATTGTTTTGAAATGCAGCAGGATAAACAGTAGGCTTCCTTTGGGATAAAAAGTAAAGCATAACCTAGATTACTAGTTCTTCGGCCTAGATGCAATAAAACATTGCATCTATAGGCTAGAAATTGATTAAAATTAGAGAAGATTTTAAGAAAAACTTTATAAAGATACAGAGCAGGGTATCAATGCTGTAATTCTTTCAATGAGTTACACTGATTAAGAAAGATTGGTTATTCATAGACTGAGCTATGACAGTGATCATAGTAGTGTTGCATATGTTACATATTTGTAACATGCTTTTATGCAGTTACGTCATTTAAGAGTGACAACAAAGTTTAAATTATTAGGGCAAGTAGTACTATCTCTTTAAAAATGAAGAATGCAGCTTATACAGGCTCAGTATTTTGTAGAGGGTCACAAAATTCGACTTTGACCATTATAGTGTGCTGACTTCACAGTGTTTCTGTGGGTTATCGTAGTTCAGTTTGAAGGTTCATACTTGTTTCAGATTCCACTTTCAATAGAAAAATTTCTATACAGAGTTGAAATGTAACTATATATGAGATAAATATCTTTTTCCATTGACAGTTTTTGAGTGGTTTTATCCTTTGGTTTAGGTTATGGGAATGTGATGCTATTATTATTAGCTTAAAAAACACGGTTAATTGTTGTTTAAAATGTTTTCCAGGGAGACCAATAATACTCAAGAATTTGGGGAATATTTTTATTATGCTTTTATAATGAAGTGAAATTTCTAGAAGTAAATTTACAAATGCCTTTGAAGATGAACAGGAAATATTTTTTTATTTTGATAATTTTTAAAATTCAGGATAATCATTTCACTTAACAGATTATAAACTAAGACCACTTAACAAAATATCCTATAAAATTGGCTACCTTGTTGTTCAACAGGATGAAGAAACACGGAAAGATTACGATTACATGCTGGATCATCCAGAAGAGTACTACAGCCATTACTACCACTACTATAGCAGGCGTCTAGCACCGAAAGTGGATGTTAGGGTAGTGATTTTGGTCAGCGTGTGTGCCATTTCAGTGTTTCAGGTGTGTTTCGATTTCTATTTTTATTCATACAGCTATACATGAAAGTGTACTTCCTGCTGCTAATCACCAGAATTGCAGTAAAAATTCCTTTATGTGAAATTTTGCTTCCAGTTGAGATTAATTTTTATACTAGAAAATTATTTATTTCAGCATCTGAGGTTGTTATTTTTGTCAGTGGGAAATCTGATGATGAATTTTATTATGTAACTACACCCCCACCACTGCCAAAACCAGATCTTCTCTGATGCTTCTTGTATTTGTTGCATAATAGCAATCATGTTGTTTGCCTTTGTAGAATTTTTCAGTGATTTCTCATAAACTTGGGAAAAGTAAGAAGTCCATAAGTGTGGCCTAACAAGTCCTGACTTCCCTTCGCAATGCCAGTAGTCCTGGCCATCACTGTAGCAGTCAGAAGTGCCCCACACATTTCCACATGCCTCCCAAAAGTGCCATGGACACTGATGAAACGAGATACAGTAACCTGTTACGTTGTTTTAAAATATCTCAAGGGCGGGCCTAATACCTCAGTGGACTACAGCGCCTGCTTAGGCAGAGCGCAGCATTCCCTGGCGTGACATGCTGTGCTAGTCCCGACCGTGGGGTGCGCTGAGATGGTGATAGAGACTGGGCATGCGTGCCTGTAATCCCCCCTTGGGAGGCTGAAAACAGGAGAATCACTGTAAGCCCTGTAGACCCTGTCCTAAATACAGAAAAAAATAAGTAAAACATTCCATAAATTTAATGAGTTTTTTTCTGTTATTCTTCAATTAACTATATCCATGATGTGCTTCTTTAGAGGAAAAGAACAAATCCGATGACTAGACTAAAATAATTTGCTAGTTTGAAAATTACTACTCCAAGTTAATGTCCAGAAATTATATCCAATTTATGTAATAAAAGATTCTATTAAAAAGTAAGGTATAGGGGCTGGTAAGATGGCTCAGTGGTCTAAAGCACCTACTTAGAAGAAGCTTAGCAAAGCATAGGGACAGCGGTTCAATCCCCCAGCACCACATGCCAGCCAGCCCCGCCCCCGGTGGGCTGAGCTGGCCACACACACACACACACACACACACATAAATAAATAAAGAAAATTAAAAAAAAAAAAAAAGTAAGGTATAGTGTTTTAAATGTATCTGCCTTCCTGGAAGTATTACCCTTTCAGAGGGGAAGAACAGGGATAATTTTCCATTTATTTATTTATTTATTTTTTGATGGAACCGGGGATTGAACCCAGGCCTTTGTGCTTGCCAGGGAAGCACTTATTCCACTGAGCCATCTTCCTGGCCCCTACTTTTTGTTTTAGATAATGTAATACTCGAATAACTTTTTTGTAATATGTCTAACTGTAGCTTTAATACTTCAGGATATTTATAGTGTAACTGCTATGTTCATTCAGTAAAACAAACTGAAATACATAACTGTACTATGTAAGATGAAAGGCTTTTTCTGACAGTAAAACTATTTGTAGTTGAATATGTTTATGAAGTAAAGGCTTTCCTGTCCCAATAAAGAGTTCCAGCATGCTTGAATCTTTCAGTTCAGAATAGGATGTATATTCCTGTGGTATATGTAGATGGTTTGGGAAAGAGGTAAAAATGATGCAGCTGCTGTAATCTCTACCAGTGAAAGCGAGCTTTTAGAGAGCGAGTGCCCAAAGTGCAGCCCCAGATCTACCTCTGTATTGCAAAGTGCCATCACTGCAGTTAAACCTGAATATCGGAAGCTGGCTGCTGGGCCAGTGCCAGGGCGGTGGAGAGGCTCTGCATGCCTGCTCTCGCATGTGCCACAAGTTTGCCACCACTGATCTGTACCTTGTGAATTTTAAAAAGTAAATTTACCTGCTAGTTTTTGTTTTTTAACTTTTCTAATAAGTAGATTACAGTTAATAAAAAGGAGACAGAGTTCTTAATAGTGATCTAAGGAAGAGGCAGATGGTGGAGATGTGAAGTGACAGGGGTGTTATGATTCTGTTGATCTGTCATCTGATCTTGGATGTTTACTGTCTGAATTGGTGGGTTTTGGTTCAAGTTTATATCCTATGTACATACAGGTTTTGTTCAGTTGTATCATTTACTTATGAAATAATATCTTTGAGGTTTATGTATATACTTCTTCTTTCTTTGTTTTTTTGAGACAGGATCTCATTTTGTAGTTCAGACTGACCTTGAACTCACTTTGTAGCCCAGGCTGGCCTCGAACTCACAGGATCCTCTTGCCTCAGTCCCCTGAGTGCTGGAATTACAAGCAGGCACCACCATACCAAGCTGAGATCCCTATAATTTCGAATTAGTTTCTTGGGTGGTGACTAAGACCCTTTAATATTGGTTTAGATAAATTGTAGGATAAAACTGACTCATTTTTCTTTGTTAAATATTCTAGTTTTTCAGCTGGTGGAATAGCTACAATAAGGCAATCAGCTACCTAGCCACAGTGCCCAAGTACCGTATTCAAGCAACGGAGATTGCCATACAGCAGGGACTACTCAAGAAAGCCAAAGAAAAAGGCAGAAACAAGAAGTCCAAAGAAGAAATTCGTGACAAGGAAGAGAACATCATAAAGAACATTATAAAAAGCAAAATAGACATAAAGGGCGGCTATCAGAAACCCCAAATACGTGATCTTCTCTTGTTTCAAATTATCTTAGCTCCATTTCACCTGTGCTCATACATAGTCTGGTATTGCCGCTGGATTTATAATTTTAACATCAAAGGCAAAGAATATGGAGAAGAAGAGAGACTATATCTCATACGTAAATCTATGAAGATGTCAAAATCTCAGTTTGATAGTCTAGAAGATCACCAGAAAGAGACTTTTCTTAAACGTGAGCTCTGGATAAAGGAGAATTATGAGGTGAATAGTGACTCCACTCTGATTTTAGTATCATTCTTCCTACCACATCACTCTTTCCTTTCCTGTGTGATAAGGGATGAAGTATGCTTAAATTTCTGAAATCTGAGGTTAAATAATGAATAACATCTTATTTTTACTGAAAGAATGGCTGTATTTTGTCATGAAGTACTGGATTTTTAATCTGTAATTTATCTTTTTAAAAGGTATACTGAATTCAGATTCTTGAAAAGATCATTTTGAAAAAGTTCTTAAAACGGTCAGTAGTCTTAAACTGTACTGGGATAATGTATGTATTTGCAAGGATGTTACAATGATTTTTGTTAATTGCACCAACTATAATTTGATCTTTCCCAAGCTTTGCTCTGGTCATGTAAACCTAGCCATAGAGATTTTTTTAAAAAGCAATGAGAAAAGGGAGAGGAATGAGAATGAATTAGGAATGGAAGTTGTGTTGAAAGAACAGTTTCAAAATTAGTTTAGGCACAGACTCTTCTGCCTAAACTAACATGTATAGAAAGTTTTATTTTGGAACATTTTTATTAGTGCCTTTTAACTAATCCATATCTGTAGTGCATAGTGACTGCATTCATCATGGGGAGTGTGTTGTTTTTACCTCCCCTTTTTTCTATTACCTGTCTCCCTCCTCCATCTCTTGGTCCCTTCCCATTTGCAAAAGATGTATCTCCCTTTTCGCTAGTGGTTTTTACCTTGTTCTTTTATTTTTAAATTAAGTGAGCTTTCTGTCATGCCTTTAAATATTGGCCCTCTTGGTCTGGGAGTGTAGCTTTGGTACAATGCTTACCTAGCATGGTGAAGCCTTAGGTTCAGTCTCCAGTAGTGCAAATTTTGAGCCTTTTATTAAATACTTTTTAAAATAATTGTCAGCTATACAAACTAATTTGACCGGATCAACTGTTTACTCAGTGTTAGGGAAGGATTAGTGGTCTCATTAACACTTTATTTATTATTATTATTTTAGGTTCTTGGTAGTTAATTGGTTAATACACTGAACCTAAGAATAGAGTACCAGAACCTTCTTATGACATTTGAGGGGTTTTTTTTTGTTTTTTTTTGTTTTTTTTTCATTTATATATTTGGTACAGGGTCTCACTACACAGCTTGGACTTATAGTGATCCTTCTGTTTTCAGCCTTTCCAGCACTGGGGTTATAGGCATGCGCCATCATGCCCGGACTCAGTCACCAATCAGTGCACCCTGGAGGCGGGCTGGCGCAGCAGATGCGACCTTGGATCCAACCCTGGTCCCTGTGCTTGCCAAAGCAGATACTTAGTCCGCTGAGCTATCTTGCCCACCCTGAGATTTTTTTTTTTTTTTATGCTTCCTTTTATAGGTGATGTAAAGTGAGGTTTTTGTCTGAATTATATTTAAGTAAATTAATTTACTGCAAGTTGCTGAATGTTTTGACAGGTAAATGTATTCAGCCTGTTAACATAATAATGAAAGTTAATATCTTATTTAGCTCTTAAATTATTTGAGAAATTTCTCTCTTAGACAACAAAACTGTGTCTTAGATGAGTTACTAGGCTGAAGTATCATAGATTATTATATGAGGTTATCTTAGTACTATTCCTTGTATTCGGAAGTAATAAGTTTTTCTAAAATTCGATGTATGAAACTTGTCTGTAACATGATGGCTTGTCCGTTTAGTTTTAGTTGACATGCGCTGAAAGTTAAAAGCAGACGTTCTTTGTGCTTAACCTCTGCAGTTTATCTAACCTTTGAAGGATTTAATTCTTTTTTTTTTTTTTTTTGGAAAATCTATTCTTCAAAGATAAGTAGATGTATGTTCATTTTTTTTTTTTAATATGGAACGCTTCACGAATATGCGTGTCATCCTTGCACAGAGGCCGTGCTAATCTTCTCTGTATCATTCCAATTTTAGTATATGTGCTGCCAAAGCGAGCACAGTGTATGTTCAATCTGGAGACAAGCATATCTGTAAGGTCATTTTGTCTCTTGATTAAAATTAACAACTTTACTTTGAAAGTTAAATTTGCAGTGGACCATGTTATAAAACTAGAGTCTTTAATATTGGCTATTAGTTGTACAAGGGAAACATGCTGTTTAAACTTAGTTTCTATAGGATTTCAGTGAGGAAAATAATGCATTCCTAATTTATAGAAATCTGTGACAAAAAGGCAATACTAGTTCTTCTACAAGTTTCCTTTGTTTCACACTAAATGTTCAAATGGTTAACTTCGTAACAAATCAGTACAGTCACTGGCCTAAAATTATATTTAAAAAATAAAAATACCATAAAGTCATCAGCAAATGTTTCTCCTCTCTTTGTAAGTTATTTAGTATTGTTTGTACTTACAGGTTTACAAACAAGAGCAAGAAGAAGAATTAAAGAAGAAGTTGGCAAATGACCCTAGGTGGAAGAGATACAGGAGATGGATGAAGAATGAAGGGCCTGGGCGGTTAACGTTTGTGGATGACTGAATACTGATGGAAAGCTGCTGTGCCAAACTTCATTTGATATTATTTTTCATAACTGAATTATTTTAGAAATGTATCAACTGCTCCTAAGCAGTAACTTAAAATTCCAGAAGTATTCGATTAAAGAGAATAATGTAGAAATTTCAACTTTCCCTCAAAACTTTATATATAAAACGTTTATGATTGTTCAATTTTTATAATCTTTTTTTTTAAAAAATATTGACAGGAAAATTTATTTGCCATTTAAAAATTTTATAGTTCAGTTAAAAGATTTGACATGAAAATTTATGCTATTTAAAATTTTGGTGTGTTAGTGTTTCTTCTTCAAGAGTGTTTCTTTATTCTTTGTCATAGTGCTACATCTTGCTGGTTTCATGGCACATATATTTTCACAGTCTGTAAGAAAATGATAACATTTAATTATATTACTGTGTCTATGGACACAGACTTCTCCAGCAGAATGATTCAGCTATCATGATGTCTTCATTATAGGATTGAAATATGTTCAAAGTAATCTCTCTAGGAGAGTCTGCTAGAATATCTTTAAATCCCCACCCTTCTTCATTATAATACTCTTCTAAGATCAGAAACTCTCCAAGAGAGTGAGTCTATCCTCATGTCCTTGTAGGATGGTCTTGATTACAGTCTTATTATAGGACTATAACCATATTCTCAAACAGTTCTGCAGAAGGGGACTTTGTGAAAGGATCGTTTGTACCACAGTACTTTTTTTGGGGGGAGGGGTCCATTCTAATTTAAGAAAATGGCAAGAAATAGTGCTGAAAAATTGTTTATATATTATGAAGTCCTTGAGTGGTGAAAAATCCATTGTACATGAGAATACCTACATGCATTTAAGCTAGAAAGAAAATATGCATGGTTGTGTACTGTTCTCAACCACTGAAATATTGATGTTTATATATATGTGCAAGTGATAGTAAATGACACATAATTCGAGTGAATCTAAAGCATGATAACTACACCAAAGTACCAGAACACATTCATGGCAGTGAATCAGTACTCCTGTAAAGGATTTATCCTATTGCTTCATATTAATAAAGTGGTTGTAATATATCCTGTTTGTTGGTATGGCATTTTAAACTAAAGATTAATATATTGCTTTTCATATGATACAATTTTTAAAGATGAATGTAGCATAGTAGATACACAGAATCTCTATCATAAAGTCCTTTTTATAGACTCACAATATATAAAGGATTCTGTCCTTGCTAACTTAGACAAAGACTTGAGGCCAGTTATAACCTGTGAATGATTGCTTCAGTTATAACATTGGGAAAGAATTTGACTAAGCTATTCTTAGGGTTCTTTTGCAGCCCTAAAATTCTGAAGTTACATAATTATCTTTTTATAAATTCTAGATGAAAATATCTTATGGATTCATCCATTTTTTTAGGAGCATGAATAAGGTATAGAAGTAAGTTATAGTAGCTGTGTTTCTAACCTATGCCCAATTCTTGGCCAGAGATCAATGCCTTTCTTTGTGTGTGTGTGATTATTTATTTATCTATTTATTTGGTACAGTGTCTCACTACACAGCTTGGACTTGTAGTGATCCTCCTGTCTCAGCCTCCCCAGCACTGGGATTATAGGCATCGCCACCAACCTGGTTTTGGTGGCAGGCTCAGCATACCCAGGGGCAGGACCAGCTCAGCTTGTGGTACCAGGGATCAAACCTAGGTCCTTGTGCTTGCTAGGCAGGCACTTAGATGCCCAAGCTATCTCCCGGCCCAGATCAGTGCCTCTCCAAGGTGCTGTGGCTGTCTGTGGAGTCAGTAGTCCTTGTCTTGGTGAATGCGTTATCATACAACTAACACATACTAGCATTTATCGTCTCTGAACAAGAATATGTGCCATATGTTATAAAGACTAAAAAGAAATGTAGGTACTTTTGTTTTCATGTAATTTTCAAAAACATTTATGATTGCCAGTTTTTTAATCTATTAGTAAGGAAAGACAACAAGAGATAATGGCATTCATAGTGATTGGCCGATGGCCGATGTAGACAGTGTATCTTTATGGACATTCTGTCTGCAAGATCACTGTATTTCTTCCTGTCTTTCCAGAAACTTCATTTCTAAAATTCTCCCCAGGATCCTGCTCAGTAAGTGAAGCTTTTGAGTCAGTCATGTGAATCAAGATGAACTGTCTTCAGCAGGATTATTAGTCTCTTAATACACTGCAGTAATTCTGTGCTTTAAAAATCCTATTAGAAGAGCTATTAGTTGTCACAAATGTCAGATTTAAGAGCTGGGGAGATAGCTCAGTGGTCTAAGCTCTTGCCTAGCAATCTCAAGGACCCAGGTTTGATCCCTGGTACCATATGTTTTGCTGGCCCTGGACACCATGCTGGCCTGAAACTGGGTGTGGTGGCACACACCTGTAATCCCAGCACTGGGGATGCGACACAGGAGGATCACTACCAGTCCAAGCTGCGTAGAGAGACCTTGTACCAAATAAATTAATAAAAGACTTTTAAAAAAATTTTTTAATGTTAAATTTAAATGCTGCCCTCAAAAAAACAAACAAACCTATTTGAGAAACTTGCGGCAAAGAACCCTGTTTTAAGGATTCCACAGGTTCCCTAGTTGTGGGGCTCCTATAGAGATGTAGTCTTTGTTCACTTTAGGGTATCATTTCCTTTCATTTAGGATTTGGGAACTGATAGAGCTTTGCTGTCCTTTGTTACCTAGTGATTCATTGACAATATCATATAATTGAGGTCTAAAAATTACCCTTGAGCTAATATCCATATCTAATATCTCCATAACAAAATTTCAGGACTAACCCTTCCTCAGTCTTCTTAATGAATTCTTTAAGTTACACAAATCATAGGTTGCAGTTTCACATCTATTAGATACCACACCTGAAACCTTAAACACTACACTTGGTGTATTGGATTTCAAAGACTGTTACATGAGCCAAGCATTTTGGCATACATGTAATTCCAGAACTCTGAGAACCTGAGGCTGAAGGATTGTTGAGTTTGAACCCAGTCTGGGCAGCTTCGTGACTTAGGCTCTGTCTCAAAAGAGCTGTAGATGTAGATCAGTGAGCAGGCCCAGGGTTCAATCTCTAGTTCTACCAAGAAAAAGTTACATGAAAAAATATGTAAAGAATAAACTATTTTAGTACTATTGGATTTTTGCTTAGAAAATCATGTGTTTACTTTTTTGGAAAGGAGTAAGGAAAAGGCATTACCCGCTAACATCTGAAACTTTGTAGGTGACTGCCAAGAGGTCTTCTAACACTAAGCTAGTTTTATGAACCAGATTTCTGACCACAAAATTCTATGGAAAGGAGAAATGTTTTTTTTATTAGACATGGGCAAAAGTAGGTTCTAGATACTAATTTATATAGTGAAATCAAACATCTTGTACATTTGAGGTGGATAAATGTTAGTATTGGTACAAACCAGTTATATTTGAATTGTTTTTATTTTGTCCAGGGTTTCACTATGCAGCCCCAACTAGTAGTGATTCTCCTTTTTTCAGACTCCTCATTGCTAGGATTATAGGCATTTGCTACCACACCTAGACTTCTGTTTGAATTACTAATTTTACCAAAAATGTGATACTGTTAACATTTAAATATGGGCTAAAGCTAAATCTAGAACCTATTAATAACCTAATTTTTCCATTTTTCTTGTCTAAAATGATAAGATCTTTAGATAATCAAAATTTGAAAGTGTAAAACTACGAATTTGTATAGGTCTCATAGCTAGATTGCCTGAAATTGAGAAATACTATGTTTTAAAAGCCTATGTAATTAGTTATAAACTTGAATCAGCTTAATTGTTAGGGAGTATAAGATACCTTCAATTGTGTATGGAGTGGATCTTTTGGTTTTAGATCAGTGGCCCATGGGTTTCTTGTGGGTTCTCCCATTTGATTAGAAAGTAGAGAAACTTCCCATCGTTGAGCAAGTCTCATAACCTTAGAGTGAGCAGGCAGATTGCAGTGGGATGGCTCTGGCTTTGTAACCAGATAGACTGAGGTTGACTGGATAGGTTTCTCTGACTCTTTAGCCTCGTTTTCTTCAGTATGACAGTACTAACTACACAAATTTACACACGTACACACACACCGGTACTGGAGATTCACCCCGGGCCTTTGCTCTGGGCTACAAAGAATTAAAGCCAACAAGAAGAAAGTGCCTGACATATTAAGTGCTCAGTAAGTGTGAGTTCCTTTGCCTTATGGGGGAACAGGTAAGAGGAAGTCTTTGCTAAAATTCATGGTAAGAGTGCTTTTAGTGATGACTGTAAGTTCATTTCTTCTAATAAGTGTTTCAAACCCTTGTGCAAGATGCAGTGCTACAGTGAAAACCTGATGCTCCTTAGGGCTAGAATTGTGTTTTAAAAGCAGTTGCCTGTCCTTTTTGCTGTTGGGTTGCAAGGTAAGGCAGGCAAGCTGAGATGGCAGACCAGGGAGGGAGGAAAACTTTGAGGTGACAGGATGATAAGTACCTCAATAGTCTAAGGTCTGAATATAATGAAGGAACTAGGAGGAAGAGTAGCAAACGTGTGGAACAGTTGCTCAAAAAGACATCTAGTAGTCCTTGGTGCTACTACTTTTTTTTTTTTTTTTTTTTTTTGTTGTTTTTTTGGCGGAACCGGGGATTGAACTCAGGCCCTTACGCTTGCCAGGGAAGTGCTTATTCCACTGAGCCATCTCCCTGC